AAACAAATAGCCCAATCACAAAATGGAAGAAAGAACTAAACAGACATTTCTCAAATTTTTTAAACCCATCCAAAGTCAACTCCAGAGATACAAGGGGTCTCCAGTGCCCCTTTGAGGTTGGTCTTGGCACCTGCTACAAAATAGGTAGGGAGCCAACTCAGGTGGACCAGCTGTGCAGTTTGAATGGGGGGGAGATTGTTGCAGCACAGAATTTCTTGCCATAGATGTCCAGGCTTGTCTCCCCTAGCCAGGCCACTGGACACCACCACACAGCATTCCGGTAACATTGTTCTGAGGGTGCTTGACATGGAGGCCTTTTTGTCACCCTCAGGCAGGGCTCTCTGTGGATGGCATGTGAGCTACTGACCAGAGGCTCACCACAGTAGTCGGCTCATGATGACCCCAATTATCCTGAGGAGTATGCTCCCAGGGGGAGCCTGATGCAGCTGTGTTCACGTGGGCCCCTCTTAGTCTGGGAGCTCAGAGGCTGTTACTGCAGTCCTGTGGCCTGAGTCAAGTCTGTACCTCTCTGTGACTCTTCTTTTTGGTGCTTCCTGTTCTCTCTCACTTTTATCCACAAAGTTGCTTAATGATAGTCCTAACAGTTAATGCTGCTGATGAGCTGTATCTTAGATCCCTCCTGCTGAATGGCTTGGGATCTTTGGATGAGGCCAGAGTACTCACTCTACTGGTGCTCAGACAACATCCATGAATCCATAGGAAATCTCACTTTTGCTGACAGATTGACCAGACAACAATCCTTAGTCAAAAGTATTCATGGAATCTGACCATTCCTATTTATTTGTTTGTTGATTGCTTGAGTATTTTAAAGCAAACCCAGTCATTCTATTATTTATTCTGTAGGCACTTTAGTCTTTCTCTAACAATGAACAATAATTTTTAATGATTTTAAAAATATAAACTTTTTAAAATTAAACACACACCATAGATCCATCTTAACATTTAGCAAAATTAGTGATAATTCCTTAACATCATCTAATACCTAGTCTAAGTTATCATTTCTCCCATTGTCTCAAAAACACCACTTTATACTTTATTAATAATAGGATCCTCACAAGGCCTACAAATTACATTTGGATGATGTATATGTTTTGTTAAAAGCCTTGTTGAGATAGAGTTTACATGTTACAATTTGCACTTTTGGAGCACACAATTTGATGCTTTTAGTGTATTCATAGGATTCTGCAGCCACTAGATTATGAGATCTAGTTTTGCAATGGTTTTGCCTCCTCTAACAGAAACCCTTTGCCTATTAGCTGTCACTCTCCATTTCCCCAAGACCCCTACCCAGTCATGGGAGTTCCTAACCCTTTCTGTCTCTGTTGCTTTGCCTATCCTGGGCATTTCATCAGTAGCATCATTGTCTTGTGACTGGCTTTTTTGGCCTTAACACAGTGTTTTCATGTTGTAACACGTATTGGTACTTCATCTCTTTGGATTGCTTAATAATTTCCCATTGTATTGATAAATCACATTGTATTATTCATTCATTAGCTGATGGACATTTGAGTTATTTCCACCATTCAGCATTATGAATAATGCTACTATGGGTGTTATTATATACAAGCTTTTGTGTGCATGTTTTCATTTTTTCCATATATATTTACACACACACACATACACACACACACACACACCATTTTACATTTCCATTAGCAGGGTATGAGATTTCAATTTCTCCATGTCCTTGTCAACATTTGTGATTATTCATTGTTTTGATTGTAGCCATTCTTGTGGGTATATAATTGTATTGCTTTGTGGTTTTTCTTTGTCTATCCCTGATGGCTGATGATGTTGAATGTATTTTCATTGTATATTGGCCATTTGTTTATCTTTAATGAACATCTGTTTGGATCCTCTTCTCATTTTTCAGTTGGGCAAGTTGTCTTTTTCTTAGTTTTAAGTATTTTTATATATTCTGGATACAGTCCCTTTATTACATATAATTTGTGATTTTTCCCATTATGTGGATTCTATTTTCATTTTCTTGGTGGTGTCATTTGCAGTTCAAAAAATAGAGAATTTTGATGTAGTCCAGTTTTTCTTTTTCTTTTGCTACACATGCTTGTAGTATCATATATGAAGTCTTTGCCTAACCCAAGGGCAAAAAGACTTATTCCTATACTTTCTTCTGAGAGTTTTGTAGTTTTAGCTATAGTAATTTTTACAAATATGGTTATATTTGCACTTATAATTATTTGTATTACCATTTAGTCTGTTATCCACATTTAGTTGTTTTTTTATCAATTTTTTGTTTTAATCAGTTACACATAACAGTAAATGACCTTGACATACATTTGAATCAGATGGGATATAATTTCTCATTTTTCTGAGTGTACAGGTTGCAGAATCACATTGGTCTTGTATCTACACACAGCAATAATAATGTCCATTTCATTCTTCTATCCTTCCTTTCCCTCCATCCCCTCCCCTCCCATCACTTTTCTCTACCCAATCTAAGGTGACGCTATTCTTTTTTTTTTTCCTCTCATCTTCATACATGTATTTTGTGTAACGATGAGGGTCTCCTTCCACTTTCCATGCAATTCCCCTTCTCTCTCCCTTTCCCTCCCACCTCTCTTCCCTTTCTAGAGGTAATCTTCTTCCCATGCTCTTCCTCCCTACCCCATTTTGAGTTACCCTCCTTATATCAGAGAAGACATTCGGCATTTGTTTTTTGACATTTGCTGGAAAATGGATGGCATTTAGTTGGTTTTAGTGCATGATGTGAGATGGGTGTCCAAATTCTTTCTTGTGTGTGTAGAAGTCTTGTTGTCTTAGCACCATTTGTTTGAAATGAACAAAAAACTTTACTTACTAAATTGTCTTGTAATCCTTGTTGAAAATCAATTGACCATAAAAGTTGAGTGTTAATCTCTTTCAATTCTGTCTCACTGGACTGTGTGTCTATTATATCAGTACTGCACTGTCCCTGTTACTGTAGCTTTGTAGTAAACACATTAGTCAAATCCCTTTTAGTATGTTTCTATGTCCTCTCTTTTACCACCACCACCAAACCATTTAGGAGGAGGCTGGGTATTTTTATAGAATTCCTCATGCTTTGATGTGGTTGATTGTATTCTGATGGTGTCATTACATATTCCTCTGTCCCCCTTTCTATAAACTCATATTTAGATCCAGAAACTCACCTAAACTCTGGTTGTTGTGTGTGCACTTATTCCTCATTGTCAGGAATAATTCTTGGTAGTGCTATGTGTTTCCTGCTGCATCGGTCCAGAGGCATCTGTTGTCTGGTTATCCTACTTTTAGTAATATTAAAATTGACCATTGGGTTTAGATGTTATCACACTAATCCATCTACTACAAAATTCCCTATCAGTTTGTCATTGATTCATTTTAGGAGCCCTTGACGTTTGATTTGATCTATAGATTATGTTCCTAAGAGTTTTAAATTGCTGATTTGGAACTTCTATCATTCCTTCTATATTTCATGAATCTTTCCATTATCCACAGATAAAAATGTTAATATAATGTTTGTTTCTTTCCCTTTATCAGTTTTCAGTATGAATTGATACCCCAATAACCCCCTAAAGTGAAAAATGATTTTTTTTACAATTATGGATCTTATATATCTATGTTTTAATTATTATAGTAATTATAATTTTTTTGATGTTAAAATTGTCCCTTCATCTGAAATTAATTATATGATGTCTGGGATTTGCTTCAGAATAATCCACGGCAGGGCTGTGGAAGGGGGACATAGAAGAGTCATGATTGGCCATAAGTGGATTATGATGGGTTCATTTTGTTAGCCTGTCTTTTTTTGTATAAAGTCTTAAAAATCATCTCCTTTTGGACAATGGGTGTTCCTTGAACTGACTCTGGTGTCATCTTGACAGCTTTCTTGATCTAAGACCTAAGAAGTCTTGGGAACATTGAGTACGTTGTCTACCCCAGGCCTAGACTGAATCATTTCTCCAGGACTCACTGGTTCCTTTTAGTGGAAATAGTGTTTAAAGACCACCTACTCAAGGCATTGGGGGGCTTATCAAATTGTGCTTGCTTTTGGCCTTTTCCACATCACAGCTAGAAAATATGTTTCTCATAAAAAGAAAAATGAACTGGTTACTCAGGCCAGTATTTTCAATTCTGAGAAAAGATTGCAAAGTTTTTAGTGAAGTGTTTTTATCTATTTTATGCTGAAAATCTTGACTTCTAACAATAAACATAATTACTCATTTACTTTATCCTAATTATATGAAGCATCTTGCTTATATATAATCTACTACATTGATTTCATATAATGTGTGCAGAGAGGAGGAGAGAGAAAGGTGTTGATTTTAAAATATCAATATTTTTACTTACATGTCTTCTATGGTTCATTTCACTTTTAAGATATATTCCTCTAGGGATATATAGTCAAAAGACTATTCTTTAAAGTTACTTGAAATATTTTTCTTTGTAGAAATGGTGTCAACATGGTACACTGTTAAGTTCATTTCTGTTTGCCTTAGATTTTTTTGATGTTGCTTTTGTGCAACTGTATGTGGTTTCAAAGTAAAAAACTTTAATATACAAGGAATATTCAGAAGAACCTACTCTAATCTTTGCCCTTTCTCCTTGTGTTCCCCTTCTTCTTATCAGAACCACTTTCATTAGTGCTAGGTTTATTCTTCTATTACATTTTAAAATAAATAGACAATATAAAAAGTATTTTTAAATAAGAAATTTTTTTTCTTAGAAAGGGTAGCATACTGTATATTCTTATCCTTTATCTTTGACTTTACAGTATATCCTAGAAATTTTTCCTTTAATATGTTAGTTTGACCCTTTATTATCAGTCTGGTTTTACCATGTCCTTATATAAGTGTATTGTAGGGTATCGCTGCCTGTTATCAATTGTACCATGAAGTATTGGGAGATTTAGTGACTTAACTGTGCATTTTATTATCAGTCTATTTTCTTTGCTACTCATCACAGAACATGATAAATGTTTTACCTTTTCAAATTTCTTTCAGTTTAAAAGAATTCCTGCCCAAAGAGTACATCAAGCAGAGAGGAGCTGAAAAGAGAATATTTCAGGTATTGGAAATGTACAGCAATTTATTATTCTCCTCAATCTCCATCCTCATTCATTAGCATAAGGGGCCTCTGCACATGATAGTTTTGTATGCTTTGCACATATTCTTATATAAGTGATTGGTAACTCGAGTAAAGAAGTTGACAGTTCTACTTTGGACAGATTTATTGTCTTAATCCATAGTTTCTTGGTAAAGGTTACTTAGCCTTCTGAGAAAAATGTGCATACATTTATTTTGAAAGTCTTTACACTGGTGGTGTTAAAACAAGGTGATAGGCTATTAAACTGCACTGAGGGAGAAGCTACCAATAGCTCTTTTGTCCTAAGATTTGTTTTCTTGAAGCTAGAATTTGAGAACTAATGCCTTTTTAAAATCCATTCCAGGCAACACTAAAAAAAGTCCTGTCACCAACTTGATTGTGGAACACCTTATTGAATCTAAGATTTCAAAGTCTTCTTTGATCTGGAAAAAGAAATAAAAATTAAAATATAAATCTCATGTGCATAAAACATTATTTCACCTGGTATTATTTCCAAGCACTATCATGTATAGGCATATATATATATATTCTCCTCTCTGGAAAGATATAGATGTTAAAATGACATTGTCCTTAGAAGAACATCTTTCTAGCTATCATTTAAAGTGTGGGACCTGAACACTTAAGACATGGAGTCCTTTGAGAATTTGATTATAATTATGGATCTGTTCCTGTCATGCTGCACACAGGTACAAATTATTGGACTCAGTGCGAAACGTGTAGGCTATTTGGTTCAAGCTCTAGTTTAAAAGTCCCAAATTGAACTCTCTGTGCTCTTCTCCTTGTTTATCAGATAGCTATGTTATGGAGGGATTCGGACACAAGCATCACTTACCATTCAGAACCCCTGTGTACCCCACCTGTAGTAATCACCTCTCACTAGTCCACCTGCTACCAGAACTATAGTAATGAGTTTCTTTATACTGTCCCTTTTGCAGGAGCATAAGAACTGTGGAGAGATGAGTGAAATAGAAGCCAAGGTCAAGTATGTAAAGCTAGCCCGGTCCCTCCGGACATACGGTGTATCTTTCTTCCTAGTGAAGGTGAGTTGGGCCGAGTTGGGAGGGTGTTTACCCATGCCTCTGGTTTTCTTTTGTTAAAGTGTTTGCTCTAAGTATGGTTTGTCACACCTACACCCCTGGCATTTGGGGATGCAGCCTTTGGCCAGTGTGGTCTGAGTTTAACTGAAGCACAAACGTGAAGGGTGTGAATGGCCAGGCTGGGGAGCAAGCCTGGCTGCCTGCATGGCCTCTGGACAGCTGTGCCTTGAATGGGATCACTATGGCTACTGGAAAGTCAAGAAGGAGTGAGCTCACTATCACTTGTTCTTTCCCCCTGAGAACATCTTACTCATGACCATCTGAAGTCCTCTGAACGGAGTGAAAATTGTTGACCACTGCAGACAAAACTGAATTCATGTCATATATAGTACTTAATTTGTACATCTAAGACAGGTCATGGAATTTTGGTGGCCTTCAAATCTGTTTTTATGGAAATCATTTGACTTTCTACTACAACAAAGCACATTTCTTTGAATGTACATGCTGGGAAGTCCCTCAATAAATGTCTCCTTAGATTGATTGACAAATCCCCCACTATCATCCTTCCTCTTTTGCTCTTCCTGACCTCAGCTACTCAATGTCTGCATCCCAACTAGTAGGTTTTACTGATCTCTTGTTTTACGGTGACTCTAGGTCTTTCTGCCCCTTGCCCTTGGCCCTGGCGGAAGCTCTGCTTGTTGTGAGGCTTCTTTTGTTGCTTAAGGCAAATGAGGATGGAATTGAGTGTGTTGCAGCTGCTTTCAGGAACTGAAGTGGAGAGGCTGGGGACAGGATGGGTGAAGGAAGAGGGTTCCTTCCCCATAGCTAAGGAGAACTGCAAAGGAAGGATATTCTGATATTCTCTAGAAGCTTCTCTTGACTTCACCCCTTACTGTGGGGTAAGCTGTTCCCCTGGGGCAAGGAAGAATCAAGATATTTTACTTTAGAGAGGTGTATGTTTCATGCCAGGTAGTTACACCAACCAAACCTGCTCCATTTTACACCAGAAAACACTTGGGGCTCTTGCCAATGAAGAAGCCTGTGTCAACCACCTTTACTATTATTAAGAAAAATAATTTAGAGATGGAAACTTTGATATTTAATAGGAGTTTTAAAATATGAATAAATTTTTGAATGGTACTGGTGCCATCTAGTAACAACAATTCCATTTACCAATCCTAATAATAATGTTTATAAAAATGGTTACATGCCAGACATATCTCATTCAAATCTATTAGGAAGAATGACTACTATTACCTTCTGTTTATAAGCAAGAAAATAAAGACTCAGAGGGATGCATTTACTTCCCAGGGCCATAAGACAGGTAACCAAAGGAGCCAGGTCTTGAATCAGGTCTCTGATTCACAGACCATTGTGACCCCTAGCTGTGCTGCTTTAGCTGGGATGATCCTGCCCAAGAGAGTCACTTGCCTCCTCCATCCCAGCAACCAATTGTATATGACTCTAGGAGAGACGATCGATCATTTTAGGAGCTGAGCTGTCCATTCAGTGTTGTGAAGGGAGCCAGTGAACAATGAGTTCCGGCACCTCCCAGGGTTTAAGTGGTTTTCAGCAATCCACTATTGATAATGGCACTGATTTTCACCTATCTTCTTAAGTTTTTCTGTGGTTCTTCAAGTGTGAAATTCATATTTGGTATTCATATCTTCTTAAATAACATCAGAGTTTATGGCAGTGGCTCAGGAGGCTGAGGATGGAGGATCATGAGTTCAAAGCCAGCCTCAGCAAAAGCAAGGTGCTAAGCAACTCAGCAAGACCCTGTCTCTAAATAAAATACCAAAAATTGGGCTGAGGATTTTGCTCAGTGGTTGAGTGACATGGAGTTCAATCCCAAGTACCAAACAAATAAATAAATAACAAAAGAGTTTATACAGAGTCAGTGTCTGTGATGTGTAAAAGATTATGCCTCTTCATATAGGTCAATAAATGTAGGATAATAACTCACAGAAAACCATTGTGAATAGAAGAGCATTGAACAGCAAATTGAAGAAAAAATAAATTCCCTCTTTCCCTTCCTTCCTTCCTTTTCTCCTCTTTTTCTTTTAATTACATCTCTTTGAAGAGAGAGAATTAAGTTGGTAGCACTTACAACCTTTATATACATATTAAAATTAACAGTTATATTTTCATTAATTTTATTTTTGTCATTTGGTACAATGTCAAAAGCACATTGCTTACTTTGTTTGCTTGATGATCCCATTTAGGATGCCACTTTATTTCATAATTGTCTCTAATAAATCCAATTTACTTGACCATAATTTGTAGGAATGATTCAATATCAAGAATGAATGAATCTTGAAAATCAAATCAGCAAATGATATCATATGATTTTTATGTAAAGCTACTAAGGTTTTTGATGAAATTCAACATCTCCTTAGAAAGATTTCTTTAAATTTCTGGAATGTAAGTATGTCTGTTTAACATAATAGAGTATCAGTTTTAAAGCTATCATCAGTATCATGCTTAACAGAGAAAGGCTAGAGGGAACTCTAACAATTAGGGTCACACAGATTTGCCTTGTCGTCTCATCCCCGGTTAACATTGTTCTGGAAGACCTGAGAAATGCAGAAAGATATAAAAATGAAAGAGCAAAATAATAACCTTGGAAAGTGAATTATAGCTAGTTGCTATGGTTATAACAAGATAAGGTGAATCTTTTTTAAACTTTTTATTTTTATTTTATAAGTATAAATACATAGGAAGTTAATGGTACAGAATCAAAATGTCAGCATTGGTGAGAATATGAAGAAATTGGAACCCACATACGCTGTTGGTAGGAAAGCAGGATGGAGCAGCCACTGTGAAAAGGGTGATGATTGATTAAACATAGAAATGCCATTTGACCTAGCAATTCTACTTTTAGGTAGATACACCCAAAGAGAACTAAAAGCACATGTGCACACAAAATCACATGTGTATTTACAGCAGCCTTTAGCTAAACTACAGAAACCCAGTGCCCATTGCTGATGAGTAGATAAGCGATTTATGGTATAACCATACAATGCACTATTTTGGAGCCATAAAAATGGATGAAGTACTGATACATGCTGCAACATGGATAAATTTTGTAAATGTTATGCTAAGTGGAAGACACTAGTCACAAAAGACCCCCCACTATATTATTCCATTTATGTGAAATGTTCATAATAGGCAAATCTGTATAGAGCTAGGTTAGTTAATGTTTGCTTAGGGGTGTGGTGTGGCAGGGTGCAAAGAATCGGAGATTGATACCTATAGGGTAGTACAGGGTAGCACTGATAACTACAGGGCCCTAACTTGTCTACTGTTAGTAGACAAGGTGCTAAGCAACTCAGTGAGACCCTGTCTCTAAATAAAATACAAAAAATAGGGCTGAGGATGTGGCTCAGTAGTTGAGTGACACCGAGTTTTTGAGAGTTCTTGATTTGTTCTAGGCCCAAATCCTTGACACATACATGGTTTATTTTGATATGATGAGAATGTTCTAAAATTGACTGGTTTTAGCAGTACAACTTCATGAATAAAATACATTGAATCATATACTTTAAATAGGTGAATTGTATGGTATGTGACAGTTTTAGTCATCTTTTTTTTTTTTTTTTTTTTTTTTTTTTTTTGTGGAGGTGATACTAGGATTGAACTCAGGGCACTCAATCACTGAGCTACATCCCCAGCCCTGTTTTGTATTTTATTTAGAGATAGGGTCTCACTGCGTTGCTTAGCACCTTGCTGTTTCTGAGGCTGGCTTTGAACTCTTGATCCTCCCATCTCAGCCTCCCTAGCTGCTGGGATTACAGAGATGCACCCAGCTTTAGTTAGCTTTTTCATTGCTGTGACTAAAGATCTGACAAGAACAATTTTAGAGAAGGAAGAGTTTATTTGGGGGCTCATGGCTTCCAAGTTTTCAATCTATAGACAGATGGCTCTATTCCTTGGGTCCAGAGGTAAGGCAGAACATCACGGTAGAAGAGTGTGGCAGAGGGAAACAGCTCACATGATGATCAGTAAGCAAAGAGAGAGACTCTACTCACCAGATTCAAAATATATACCCCAAAGGTATATACCCAAAGCCCACCTTCTCCAGTCCTACCCTACCTGTATTCAGTTACCACTCAGTTAATCCCCATGAGGGGATTAATTTGCTGATTGGATTAAGGCTGTCATAACCTCGCTCCTTATATCAGAATAAAATATTTTAAGAAATACAAAACAATCTTATGTAGGCTTCAAGTTTCCTTTAGTACTAACTATAGTACACACCACACCAGGAAATTGGTACAATATACAGAACTTATATACAGAGATTATCAGTGAGCTTAGAATTCACTCATTTGCATGTGTGCCTTGTTCTCTACAGTGTTATGTATGTGGATTTGTGTAACTATTGCCACAATCAAGACACAGACCTCATCACCGCAAGAATCCTTCTGATACCTTTCAGGGCTGTGCACACTTCTCTCACCTCTCCATCCTTGACACTGTGCCTCCCCTCATCCCTGCGAACCACACTTCTGTCTCTGTCTCTGTAACTGTGCTATTTCAAGAATGTTATATAAATGAAGTAATATAGTATGTGATATTTTGAAATTATAATCCAAGTTGTAATGTTGTTCTCTAGTCCATCTTTTGTTACTGAATTGTTACTGTGGTATGGGCATACCAGAATTTATTTAACCATTCATCAAAGGACATCTAGGTTATTTCAATTTGGGATTATTATGACTCAAGTTGATTGAATGTTTATGTCTAGGTGTTTGTGTATATGTAAGCGTTCATTTTTCTGGGATAATGCTGGAGAGTCCAATTTCTGGACCATATGGTAGGTACATGTTTAGTTTTGTAAGAAACTACCAAACTGTTTTCCAACATGACTATACTATTTTACATTCTTTTTCTTTTACTGGTTTTGTTTTGTTGTGTTTTGTTTTGTTTTGTTTTGTTTTGTTTTGTTTTTAGCTACTTGGGATTAAATCCTGGAGTACTATTCTACCACTGAGTTACAT